TGGAGCGGGGGGATTGTAGGAATGTGGGATTGTGGAGCGGGGGGATTTTAGGAATGTGGGATTGTGGAGCGGGGGGATTGTAGGAATGTGGAGATATGAAGAGGGGGGATTGTAGGAATGTGGAGTTGTGGAGCGGGGGTTTGTAGGAATGTGGGATTGTGGAGCTGGGTGATTGTAGGAATGTGGGATTATGGAGCAGGAGTTGGCTACTTGACTTTTGGAGGCTGCGCTGCTGCTCAGGAAGGTTGGGGTGAACTGATCCCTCTGTGGGAGCAAGGGGCCACAGTTTTAAAACTAAAGGGGATGTCCAATTAAAGTCGCAAGAGGGAACTCGCGCTCTCTTTCTCTCTTGTGCTCTCTCTCTCGCTCGCTGGCTCTTGCGCGCTCGCTCTGCCTCGCGCGCATGTGCTCTCTCTCCCGCATGTGCTCTTGCACTCTCGTGCTCTCTCCCGCGTGCTCTCGCGCTCTCGGAAGGTGGCAAATCGGTGGAAATCCACCCCTCCAAAAGGCAGTGGATACGTCAGCCACGGTGTGTGGTTTGTTTGTCGTGTGACACTGGCAATCTCTTTCCCCTCCCTCCCCGGCCCTCGCCTCTCCCACGTTCTGACATTGCTGTGTTGTAATTGCAGACTGTTCAACGCCATGTTTTGCGAGTCAGTTTCAATGTGCTGATGGCTGTTGTATCCCTCGCTCCCTCCTGTGTGATGGAACGACCCGATGTTTGGATAAATCAGACGACAGTTACTGCCAAGCAGGTGCGTGACCAAGCAGGAGGCTGCTGGGAATGCTGCCTGTGTTTCTGAGGGGGTTCCTGAAGCTGGTGGTGGTCCATCAGTGTCCTTTAGCTTCCAGCTGCTGTTGGTGTGGACTGGTACCAGGGGCCTCAGAGTGCGAAACAGCTTTGCTGTGATGATGCTGTTATTAAACTACCAGAGTCTAAGGTTTTAGAATAGATCTGTAGCTTGGGTTGTGGATGGTTGGTTCGCTGTTGTGTTTTTGTACTTCATCAGAGGCTGCACTGATGATGTTACCCAGCAGGATAATGAAGTGTCTGCAGAACAACGAACCAGCTCAGCGAGCCAACCAACTACAATATCAGATTCACTCTGGGTCGTCTGTCACACTGCTACCTCTCGGCCAAGTTGGTGTTCTCTAAGCTGTCCTCAAACCACCCATTCTCTATCCATTTGAACTTCTCTCCATCCTCATCCTATCCACTCCTAGAGTCATACAGCATGGAAACAGACCTTTTGGTCCAACCAGACCATGCCAACCATGTTCCCAAACTAAACCCGTCCCACCAGCCTGCACTTGTCCCATTCCCCTCCAAACCTTTCCTGTTCATGTACTTATCCAAATGCCTTTTAAACATTATAACTGTACTCACATCCACCACTTCCTCTGGAAGCTCATTTCATGCACAAACTACTCTGTGTTTTTTTTAAAAGAAAGATTGTCCTTCATGGCTTTTTTTAAATCTTTCTCCTCTCACCTTAAACATGTGCCCCTTGGTCTTGAATCCCCCCCACCCCAGGGGAAAAGACACCTGCCATTCACCTTATCTGTATCCCTCATTATTTTGCAAACCTTATATGTCTTTTTTACATCTCTCTCCTCTCATCTTAAAAATGTGCCCCTATTCCTCATCATAGGGAAAAGGCAACTACCATTAACTCTACACCTCTCAGTATTTTATAAACCTCTATAAGGTCACCTCTCGACCTCCTACGCTCCAGTGAAAAATGCCCCAGCCCATCCAGCCTTTCCTTACAACTCAAACCTTCCGTTCCCAGCAACATTCTGGTAATTCTTTTCTGAACCCTGTCCAGCTTTCTTTCTCCATTTAATTAATGTTCAGTTTCTATTCCTCCTGCTAAAGTGCATAGTGTCACATGTTCCCATATTATATTCCACCTACCATGTTTTTGCCCATTTACTTAACCAGTCCATGTCCCCCTTCAGACTATGGGTCACACTCACTGCTGGCCTTCCCACTTACTGCTGTCATAGTCCATTCACATCCTTCATCTAAGTCATTAATGTAGATTGTAGATAACTATGGCCCCAACTCTGATATCTTAAGTTGCCTGCCTGAAACTATCCCCCTTTTCCCAACTCTCAGTCTTTGGTTAATTAGCCAATCCTTGATCCACACTACAGTCCCTTCACTGTGCACAGCACCCTTTGGTAATCTTGAACTTAACAAATGCCATTTAGAATTCCAAGTGCACCATATTTACCCAGTTCCTCTCTGTCTATTGTGAATGTTACTTTCTGTCCAGTTAATGAAATGTTTAAATAGTTGCCCTTCTACAAAGGGGTAGCATGGTGGCTCAGCGGTTAGCACTGCTGCCTCATGGCGCCAGGGATCTGGGTTCGATTCCACCCTTGGGCGACTGTCTGTGTGGAGTTTGCACATTCTCCCCGTGTCTGTGTGGGTTTCCTCTGGGTGCTGTGGTTTCCTCCCACAGTCCAAAGATGTGCAGGTTAGGGTGGATTGGCTGTGCTAAATTACCCATAGTGTTCAGGGATGTGTAGATTAGGTGGGTTATAGGGTAATGGGTCTGGGTGGGATGCTCTGAGGAGGTCGGTGTGGGCCTGTTTCCACACTGTAGGGATTCAATGATCTATGATCTTCTGCCTGATTAAATGGTGGTTTTCTTGGCGTCCTGCTGTAACCTCCTCTAATAATAGATATAAGTACTTTCCCTGGTACAGATGCTAAGCTCCCTATTTCCCTCTCTACACCTCAATACATCACGCACTCCCGTGCGCACCTTCACGCTCTCCACCTCTAAGACACCTTTTGGAAAACCTGCTTCCTTTTTTGTTCTCATCACCTGCCAGTTGTACTGGGTGTCACATTTTACTCATGGTCCTACGGAGGGTCCTGGGCCTTTTGTCTATGTCGAGGGGTGGAGCTGCTCATTCTGTGTTGTACCTGGGTGTGTTTTCTCCAGCTCCCTCCCCAGTCAGATCGTGGATGATCTGTGGCCTAATCCCTGTCAGACGCTGCCTCTGGTAAAGCTTAAATCTTTAATAAATCACGAAAGAATCCACCTCTGGAGGCAAGAGAGTAAATGTGTGAGCTGTCGCGGTGAATTGGAAAGTGTGCAAGATGCAGGCTGATTGGTCTGTGATTTGTCGATGTGACCTACTCTAGCCCACAGCCATAAAATGGACTAACAGAACTTTGTCTTAAATTTTATTTTTGTTCTTATTATTTTTTGTAGAAGGACTGTAATTCTGATTTTTTTTATTTCTTTTATTTTTTCTAATTTTATTTTTCTTCTAAGAATTTGCCCACATGAATCTGTACCGAAAGTGCCACCATAAGTGGTGACTTGTAAACGTTTGAGTGTGTACTCGTGTGAGAATAAAGCTAATTCCACTCAATTTTCGATCGAGCTGTAATGGTCAGGAAGCTAACCAGCAGCAGAAAGGTTCATACCTTGGAGAGGGGAGCGAGGGAACTGGACTGTGGAGAGATGGGACAGTGAATGAGATGGGGATGGGGTGTGGTGGGGGGGGGGGAGAGAGAGAGAGAGAGAGAGAGATATAGGGAGCTCATATCTAACTTGTTTTTCATGCACTCTGCAGCCTTCAGGACTATCACGAAGAGAACTGTTTGACATTTTTCTCTCCTCTTGTCTACGTTTCAGTCCGTGATAATTACGATTGGCTGACCAAGAAGCAGGATCCCAGCCTGCAGGACAACGGTGAGTGTCTGTGTCTCACTCCACAAGGTTTTCTCACAGGTTTCCGTTTTAAACGGCCGAGGGGGGGAGTTTGAGTGAGTGGGAGGAAAGCTGCTTGTTGTACATTTCACAGAGTCTCCGCTCCCCTTTCCCAGCACGTTGTGAAAATGGAAGTTCATTTCCACACCAGCTCAAAACCAAACGAACTGCGGATGCTGGAAGTCAGAAACGAAAACCAGAAATTGCTGGAAAAGCTCCGCAGCAGGGTCTGGCAGCATCCGTGGAGAGAAATCAGAGTTAACGTTTCGGGTCCGGTGACCCTACCACAGAATGGGTCGATCAAGCTGAAATGTTAACTCTGATTTCTCTCTCCACAGATGCTGCCAGACCTGCTGAGCTTTTCCAGCAGTTGCTGTTCTAGTTTGAGGTCGTGAAGTGATCAGCCCTGTCACACCAGAGTCCTGCGAAGCTTAGTCTTAATTAAATTGCTAAAGCATCCTTCTCCAGTGGACAGTAAATGAAAACTAGCTTGTCCATATGGAAGTCCTGATATTCTCGGTATCTGACCTTCTCTGTCCTTTAATGAGACCTCCCCCACCGACCCCCCAACCGATGCAGAGTGTGTTATTGAGCTGTCAAAGCCCTATGTCTTCAGCAGTACCATCTCTGCCTGAGCCAGAAATTCTGCATCCTGTGATTGATACCATACTCAAAACATTAACTCGTTTTTAATCACTCATGGGACATGGCATCTCTGGCTGGGCCCAGCATTTATTCCCCAGCCCTAATTGCCCCTTGAGAAGGTGGGGGTGAGCTGCCTCCTTGAACCGCTGCAGTCCATGTGCTGTAGGTTGACCCACAATGTCCCTTAGGGAGGGAATTCCAGGATTCTGACCCAGCTACACCGAAGGACCGACGATATATTTCCAAGTGAGGATGGTGAGTGACTTGGAGGGGAACTTGCAGGGGGTGGTGTTCCCATGTATCTGCTGCCCTTGTCCTTCCAGATGAAAGTGGTTGTGGGTTTGGAAGGTGCTGCCTGAGGATCTTTGGTGAGTTTCTGCAGTGCATCTTGTAGATGGTACACACTGCTGTGACTGAGCATCGGGGGTGGAGGGAGTGGGATGTTTGTGGATGTGGTGCCAATCAAGCGGGAGCTGCTTTGTCCTGGATAGTGTCGAGCTTCTTGAGTGTTGTTGGGGCTGCCCCCATCCAGGGCAAGTGGGGAGTATTCCATCGCACTCCTGACTTGTGCCTTGTCGATGGTGGGACAGGATTTGGGGAGTCAGGAGGGGAGTTATTTGCTGCAGGATTCCCAGCCTCTGACCTGATGTTGTTTATGTGGTGAGTCCAGTTGTATTTCTGGAGAATGATAACCCCAAGGATGTTGATAGTGGGGGATTCAGTGGTTGTCAGGGGGTGGTGGTTAGATTGTCTCTTATTGGTGATGGTCATAGCCTGGCATTTGTGTGGTGTGAATGTCACTTGCCACTTGTCAGCCCAAACCTGGATATTGTCCAGATCTTGTTGCATTTGAAGATGGACTGCTTCAGAATCTGAGGAGAGTCATGAAGGGTGTTGAACATTGTGCAATCATCAGTATACGTCCCCACTTCTGACCTTATGATGGAGGGAAGGTCATTGATGAAGCAGCTGGGTCTAGGACACTACCCTGAGAAATTCCTGCAGAGATGTCCTGGAGCTGAGTTGACTGACCTTCAACAACCATAACCATCATCCTATGTGTCAAGTATGACACCAAACAGCCAGAGTCTGCCCCCGATACCCATTGATTTCAGCTTTGTTCAGGTTCCTCGATGCCACACTCTGTCGAATGCAGCCTTGATGTTAAGGGCTGTCACTCTCACCTCACCTCTGGAATTCAGCTCTTTTGTCCATGTTTGAAACAAGGCTGTAACGAGGTCAGGAGCCGAGTGGTCCTGGCGGAACCCAAACTGGGCATCATCGAGCAGGTTATTGCTGAGCAGGTGCTGATGTTCCTCTCTCCACAGATGCTGTCAGACCTGCTGAGGTTTTTCGAGCATCCTCTGTTTTTGTTTCAGATCTCCAGCATCCGCAGTTCTGTGTGTTTTTAATTGGAATCACAGAATCCCTACAGTGTGGAAGCAGGCCATTCGGCCCATTGAGTCCACATCAATCCTCTGAAGAGCATCCCACCCAGACCCAACCCCTACCCTATCCCTGCATTTCCCACCCTAGACACTACAGGGCAATTTAGCACGGCCAATCCACCCTAACCTGCACATCTTTGGATTATGGGAGGAAACCAGAGCACCCGGAGGAAACCCACACAGACACGGGGAGAACGTGCAAACTCCACACAGACAGTCGCCCGAGGGTGGAATCAAACCCGGGTCCCTGGCACTGTGAGGCAGCAGTGCTAACCACTGAGCCACCATGCCACCCCAGATTGCCTACCCACTTCCCTGTGCAGGGAAAAGGTTCATGTGCAACAAACAAATGAGTTGATTCTCCTTTAAAGACTCTCAGAATTTATTGGGAGGCAGAGCAAGATCAGTTGCGTGACTACCCACGGTGGCTTCTGAGTATTTTGTATCAGTGCTAACCCCCTGCTTTTGTCTGTAACCCTGCACAGTGTTCCCATTTAAATAACCATCCAGTGCCCCCTCAAATGTCTCCATTAAACCTCCCTCCTCCACAATCCCAGTCAGTGCATTCCAGCTAACAACTTGCTGAGATTAAAATTTATGTGTTGCATTTGCTTTATTTGCAAACATACTTTGAGAGCCAGAGGGCACTGTGTTCACTCCAAGAGCTGTGCTGCTTAAACATTGCTGATTTAGCCCTTCTGATTTCGAAGCTGCAAACCCCCAGTTCTTTTGTTCTTCAAAGCTGTTGGTCTCTGTAGCTCCTAATGCTCCTAGACCCTCGCTGCTCGCTGCATTTTACCCCTTCTCCTGTTCTGTCATGATCTCAGAAACTCCCCCTGTGTCGAATCCAGCTCTAAATCTCATAACAACCATGCAGTGTAATTAAACTGCACTTTGTCTGCAAAGAGAAATGTTACTTTAAAAAGGATTGTTATTTTCACAGCCGTCGGGTGTATTGGTATTTTACGGCCAATGCGGTGTTTTTTGAGTCTCTCTCCTCCCCTCTGTCTCTTTCCTCCCCTCTGTCTCTCTCCTCCCCTTTGTCTGTCTGTCTTTCTGTCTCTCGCTCTCCCCCGCCCTCTGTCCGTCTCCGGCTCTCCCCCGCCCTCTG